CAACACAAGCAGTCCAGAAAATAATCGCCATCTTGAAGACGCGGAGGCGATCTGTAATGATGTCGCCATTTAAAAAAAAAATAATAATAAAATACCGGTAAATGATGTTCATGCACGGAGAGGTAAAACGTCGTAGATGTAGTTCCCAGGTTAAAGGTGAAAATGTCTCACTGTTTGAGACAGAATCTGTGCGTCTGTGTTCACACCACCCTGAATAAAACACAACGAGCCTCCTCCTGTGCAGACAGGCAGGAGGACTGAATGACGAAACAACTGATTCCATTTTCTTTTTCTTAACCAACAGCGTCCCTCGGAGTCAAAAACATGAACATGTATATATTTATAAACATATAAAGATGAAGATGTTTTACGTTTGAGCTAACAACTTTTGCATTTTTCTTAAAGCACAAACACAATCTAATAAAAAAATATAAATACAACTGATGTCGTTTTGTTTTTTAAATGATATCTATAAATAAAGTTAACTTCACTTCACCTCAACCACACACACTCAAAGATAATTATAAAATGACTTAGACATTACCACAATTTTTTTTGTGTGTTTCCTTCATTAAATATGAAACAAGCAATTAATAAAGTAGGTCCTTATTATTAAATCGTAAAATCTAAATAATAAGATAAATTCAAAGACTGTCCAAAAAAATAACAAATTTGGTGTAAAGGAAATTAATAAATATTTGACTAAAATGATAATGAAAAAAAAAAAGAACTCTTTGACGTTTAGTCAAAAAATTAATCTCAGAGGTATAATCTGTAGCACAGGTCCAAAAGTGTTTGTCGAGTTTTTTTTTTTTAAGCAATTCCAGATAATATAAAAATATGAAAGATTTATATATGTTATTGCTAACTCACATAACAAGGGCCAATAAAGTATTTAGTGGCAGCATTCAATAATGTATTCAAAGTCGACATTACACACACACACATATATATATATATATATATATATATATATATATATATATATATATATATATATATGAAATTTCAATTATGTACACTACCAAATGAGTACCAAACAGGCCAACTGTATTCTATTTAGTTGATCCTTTACTTATGTAAAAAAATAGTTTATGATCAAGTATAAAAACAGCTTTAGTTACATTCCATTAACAACAGCAACAACAACAGCAAAGCATGAATAAAACACCCATCGGCTAATACAACTGAAACACTGTGACACAGACAACTCATGAAAAGGTTTCAGTGTTTCTTCCACAGTGGACAGGAAGCTGTCCTTGGTGCTGAAACAGACCAAGACACACAGCAGCATTTCAAAGACAGATAAAAAGGAGAGCAGTCAAAGTTAAAACTAACCTCTAGAGGAGAGTCAGGTTGGTCCAGGAGGTTCTTGCCACTCTGTATCCTCTGCATGGTCCCTGTAGAACTGGGATCCATTATCAACATGTTCTGACTCGCAGCTCCCCCGAACTTACAGTC